GGGGGGGGGGGGGGGGGGGTTGTTGTCCCAGGATATTCAGTTTCCCGCAGTAAGCGCACTTGCAGCCGTTGAAAATCGATCTGGGTCCGGTCAGAACTGAGTCGGCTGGTTTTCGGGAATTTTTCACCGACCAACTGTCGAGAGACCTTTCCCCTCCTCTACCATGTGGCTAGGGTCCAAGCGAAAATTCGATGGTTCACAGAGTCGACATTTTGCAATAAACAACTACTATACCTGCCTTATTTTTTTTCCAACATTTCGATGACTATACTGCCGCGCTAGGGAAGAACGCCGTATTAACATGCGAGAGTTGACAAATTTCCTTCTCTAAAATGTTCATTTTTAAGAAAGCTACGAATATTGTTCTTGGATATATTCAGGAACTTTCGGTGAAAAAGCGGCATCAATTATCTGAAAAATTAGAAGAGTAATATTTGTGATTCCACCAAGATTTTCGTGTTTCATCAGACTAAATTTGGCAATTCCTGAAGGTTAAAATGGCGTTTTTCCTTGGCACGGCAGTAGTTATAAAATGCGTAGCTCATGTGGGTAACTTTGTGAGTCTCCGATCACATTATCTATCTATACTATAAGCTCCGAGACCTCCTAATTTTGCGTAACTGGTAACGCTTAGTTCCAGCCTTCTACCGGGCCGATTTTCATGATTTTTGGGGCAATCGACGGGCAATTGTCTCTAGATTAGCCAACTCTTTTCAGATTTTCAAAATATGGACCAGGTTTTTTTGCAGGCAAAATTTGCTGTTCGAAACATCAAACTCACTCGAGAAAGCAAATAAAGACTGGACCGTGACTGGACGATTTTTCCAAGACATTATCGTCATTTTCCCTGTCTGTGGCAACTCTGTTTTTCACGTGTGAAAATTTTATGGAGCGAAATCCATTTTTTAGTAAAAAAAAAATGAGCTTGTCGAGAATGCAATTTTTATTTAATTTCTGGTGGAATGTTAATGGAATGAAAATAAATTGAACCTACTTTGAATGAAAAAAAGTGATTAAATGACGTTTCACAAAAATTATTACTCCACGGCGAAAAATCATAAAAAATTCTCAAATTTTTCTTCCAACTTGCCACTATCATAACGAAATTATACCGGAGCCAATTATTTTTGTGTACTTGTATTTTCTTTTAAAAATCTCAGGGTTAGTAAATACCACTATTTTGGTTAGGCCTATTTATTGGGACTCATACTAAACACTACTAATTTGGTAATTTTAAAAGTGGCTTTTTTTTCTGAGTGCGTGAATGGTCACAAATCCGAAAGCTCCTGGCTTCGAGAGGGGGAGAGAGAGAGAGAGAGAAAGAGTTATGAATACTAGTTGATGCCCTCGTCAAAGCTACGCTGTATTCACTACGCGAACGTCAAGTCTTCTTCGTTGCCAGAGCTGCCGTGCTAAGGAAAAACGCCACATGAACCTTCAGGCGTTGCCAAATTTCCATTTATAAAACACGAATTGACTGGTAAACTTATAAATAATTTTCTTCCAATTTTTCAGATAATTTAGTACGCAATGTCACCTTAAGTTCCTGAAAATTTCAAGGAAAAAAATTCATAACTTTCGTCAAAAATTAACATTTTATCGAAGGAAATTTGGCAACTTTCGAATGTTCCTACGTCGTTCTTTCTTAGCACGGCAGAGAAGCCCAATAACGGGCGGCTGATTTAATTTTTTTTTCACTGTGAATTCTCCTAACTTGACAACCACGGTGCTCCGGATTTCAGGCAGTCCCTGATTAAGGGGCAGGATGTTCGGGGTCGTTCTCGTCTGTGATTTTATCGGCGTTTCATTTCAGGAAACGTACCGCTGCGTCATATCAATTTCAGAGAAACCGACCAACAACCCTACTCTCAAAATAAACCGTAACAGACGTATTTACTTGTCTCCGCAGTTGTTTACTTTACGTTTTCGATTCGATGAGGCAAATGGTCAAAGATCCCCTGGAGAATTGTAACTCCGACCTATTCTCTCCCGCGGTCTTCTCTACGTTTACGCTGTCGAATCACGGTTTCCCCACAAAAGTTCAGGAGGGAATTACCATTTGAATCGGGAAGAGCAAAAACAGCTAATGTCCATTTTTCCAGTCTTCAGTTTTCTTGAGTTGATAATACTTTTAAAGAGTTGATACAACCATAAAAGTGATGAAAGGGCTTCGTCATTTTCGTGGTTGCATCCAACTCCAAAAAGTATTATCAACTCAAAAAAACTGAAGACCCGTAAAATGGACATAGGCGGTTTTCGCACGTCCCGATCCATTTTTCTTAGCTATTTATTTTAAATCACGAGGACGCAAGAAAGGAACAGGATCAAAATCATAAATGAGTGATTAAATTAGGCAAAATACGCCTTGACGGCTTTGAACAACATTTTGCAATTAGGAATTACAATTCCTGGCTCACAATTAGTTTGGAACGTCGTGTGTGCCACTAGTTTACCTATGCACAAGCACATGCGTGTTTTTAAGGGTGAGCCAGACATTGTAGTTCCCAATTGCAGAATGTGGTCCATTTGATTCCCTCCTTCAGGGACTCCGTGATAAGCAGATAGGAACCAATCCACAACAGCAATTGCAAAATTTAAATGGGCAACTTATTTTTTCACATGAAAACAATTGTTTGTATTTTGTTTGCAAACGGTGAATTTCCTGCATAGCACGGAGCAAATTCCATATAGTCTTCCAAGTAATCCGCAAAACCGTTATCTTGAAAAAAAATGCTAAACGCGGTCCACTTTGCCTGACTCTATTCAGCCGTGCTATGGAAAAGCGCCGTGTGGGCATTCAGATGTTGCCAGATTTCCTCTCAGAAAATATGTATTTTTGAAGAAAAATCTGAATATTTTGGCTTGAAAGAGAAATAAAAACAAAGTGTCCTGGAGATCCATCGTTCTCCGAAGGAAATTTGGTAACGCAAGCAGGCTCATATGGTGTTTTTCCTTAGCACGACAGTATTGCAATTACTGCGAGGTAATATTGAAGGCAACAGAGGGCATGGATCCTTGAAATAGAGAACAGTCGTAGCCCAGAGGATGTTTTCTAGCCTATCTCGAGGATCGAAGGAGGAATATGGGAAAAGTCGGGTAGATAACAGTTGATGAGAACGTTACAGCAGTTTAAATCACTACACAAGTTATAAGAGTATAAGAGTATGTAAAATTTGAAAATTAAAAAAATTTACGAAATTTAAAAACTTCGAAAACAATTTTTAAAACACTCACTTGCATGAACTACGAGGTCTGTTAGATTAGAAACCGGATTTTGGTCATAACTAGCCCACAATGCGTCCGAATTAGGTTTTCTTGAGCTTTCCTGATAGCTGAAAATATACTTAAGAACGCTACGTTCACAGATTTTGTTTATTTTGATCAGTGTTTATTCTGTGTCATCTTGAATACGAGTAAATCGGGTGCGTTCTGTGATTTTCATCATGCGATCACTGATAGAGCAAAGATTCAACATTAAATTTTGTTTTAAACTCGGTATACCTTGTAACGAAACTTTTGGTATATGCTAAGTAAAGTTTACCATGATCATTGTATGAGATGTTCCCACTGTTTTGAACGAGTTAAACGATTCAAAACTGGTCAGGAGTTCGTCAAAGATGAGGAGCATGGGAATCGACCCTCAGCGGCAACTGACATTATTGTCACGTGGAAGAAGTGCGGGCAAAAGTGCTCGAAAATGGTCGTTTCGAGCTTATTGAACAGAGTAATATTTCTGAAGGCTCCGTACATACAATTTTGATAGAATATGTAGACACGCATCGAGTTTCAGGTACACTTGCCCCTTGATTGTTGCCCGTTGAACGAAAATCCAACCAAATGTCAATTTCCATTTAGCTGCTTGAACGTTCTAACAATGATCCTACATTTTTGGTTAGGATAATTTTCAGTGACAGTACTTTAGTGTATGGCTACGATACGGAGACGAAACTCCAATCGTCCTTGTGGGTTGAAAAATGTAGTGTAAAACCGAAAAAAGAGAGACAAGTTCAGTCAAACATACAAATCGCAAAACACCCTTGAGGTTGCCTTACCTCAAGCCACATACCAACGAAGCTAATTAGGATTTTCAAATTTGTGAACGTAGCGTTCTTAAATATATTTTCAGCTATCAGAAAAGCTCAAGAAAACGTAATTTGGACGCATTGCAGGCTAGTTATGACCAAAATCCGGTTTCTAATCTAACAGACCTCTTATTTCAATTTTCGGAGCGGACGCGTTTCGGATGTCTGGGTCGCGCCGAGGATGGAGGTAAGGGACACCTCCGAAACGCGTCCGCTCCGAAAATTGAGATAGTTTATGCAAGTGCGTGTTTTAAAAATTGTTTTAAAAGTTTTTAAACATCGAAAATTTTTTTAATTTTTAAATTTTACATACTCTTTCTTATAGATAACACTTGTTGCCCAGAGGATGTCTTCTGGCCTACCTCGAGAATCGAAGGGGAAACATGTAAAAAGTCGGGTACTCACGTTTTCTTCAGTTTTCTCTGATTCTTCCTTGGACGTGGGCGAGGTGACGGGGGTTTTGTCTGGCTTGGCCTTTCGCGAGAAGCTGAGCGACCTCAGGGTTTTGATGATCTTGTTCTTTTTCTTCTCTTTCTTCTCCGGCTTCTCCGACGTTTTCTCGCCTTCGTCGGCCGTCTTCTCGTCCGGCGAGGTCACCGGTGACGTCACTTCCTCGGCTTTCTCCGGGGTCGTCACTGTCTCGGGGGTGGCCTCCTCGGCCTTGACAGGCGTTTCGGGCTCAGTTGTTTTGGCCGGGGATTCTGTGCCGTTTTGTGTCGGAGTTTCCTGCAACAAATACAATCGAATTTGTAGAAATATTTCATTTAAAAAAAAAGTTTACGAAAGCGAACAAAAATCAAGGGATGAAACCCTTTTAAAATAAAAAAAGGTTTTAAAAAAGGAGCGAAAACTGAGAAAAATGAGAGATATCATAAAGAAATACTTTAAAAGAAGATGAAAAAATAAAAAAAAAAGGTAAAAAAGAAATAAAAAATAGGTACACAAATACATACTAAGTATGGGAAATAAAATGACAAAAAAAGAAACAAATTATACAAAAAACATACAAAAAATAGATTCTTGCAAAATAAAAAGGGTGTTAAAGGAGAAAGTAAAATAATAATAATAAAAAAGAATAGGATAAATAAGTTTAAATCAGGGGGTGGGGAACGAATAAAACCGATAGAAGGAGTGAACAAGGGTGGAGAGAGTAGGCAAGTATACTCCATACAATGGAGCTCAAAGCTGATTCCTGCGCTTAATTTCGATTTTTAAGCAAATTGGCAACGTTCGGTCGACTCCTCTCAGTCGCGGTCTCTCGCTCGGGCCATGGGAATTCTCCTTGTTTCAAATATACTTAGTTTAAATACTGTACTGCCTTGCTATGGAAAAACGCTGCATGAACCTTTACACGTTGCCAAATTGCATTTGATAAAACACTAATTTCCTGGTAAACTTATGGCTACTTCTTTAAACAAATTTCAGACAATATTGTCCGCAATTTAATCTCAATTATCAGAAAATTTCAAGGAAAAATATGCGTAACTTTCTTCAAACATAAACATTTCATCGAAGGAAATCTGGCAACTCTCGAATGTTCTTGCGGCGTTCTTCCATAGCACGGCAGTGTAGATAGTCTATATTTTATAAGCTATGAAAGGTGATCGAAAAGACTAACACTTCCACACCACCCTTATAACTCTCTTCCTGATTCAAATAGTGAACTGAAACTTTCCAGATACTCCTACTTTAAAAGAGATCCTCATTCTGCGCCCTCCTCCGAGAATTTTGGGGGATTTCTGCGAAAGGCATAAACCCCAAATTTGTATCTCTAAGGGTAGCCCTAGGGGTTCAACAGAAACGCACCAGCTTCATCAAGTTTGAACCCTGTAATCCTCCTTGTGACTCAATGTAAATGACGAAGTTTATAACGACTTTCGTCAAGTTCAAAATATTTTATCTGGGGCACATATAAATTTTTTGACAGGAGAATATTTACGACTATTTGAAGATAAAACCACACCTTGCTCCTTTTTCCCCCAAAATGCGAGTTGATGCGTTTCCGTTAAACCCGATCTGTTCATCGCACACAGGGTGATTCAGAAGTCCCGCACCACCACTAGGGCCCCTAGAATTCTTGCCTCTTTCAAGGGCGATCCCTCTGAAATGGGGGTTCCCAAAAGTCGGTTCTTTTGACCTCAAAACATTCCAAGTCTTTATCTCAATTTGTACTAGAGTCACAAGGGTGATGCCTCAAAATAATGGTGTCGGGTTTTTGGATCACTCTGTGCATTTCCGTTCCGAAGTCTTGATCTCACTTGTTAGCAGAGTCCTACACGGCTACACATTTAAATATATGCCGAGTATGCCTATGTGTGATTTAATATAATTCAGATATGCCTGGTTTGTTGAACGTTTTCTAAATAAATTACTTCTTTATTTCACGGTTATGTCCCAACAATTCCGGATGAAAGCTGAGAAATCCAACGGGACAAACTGACAAGTTGTCCAGAAAATTATGATTTTAACGGAAGAAATTAGGCAACATTTGAGTGAAGAGGCATTTCTCACAAGTTGGCATCACTGTTTTTCCTCCATTTGAGAGCTATCGCTAAGTGGAAGTAGCCTACTTCGATACAAATCGATGATTTACATGCGTTTAAATGGACGAAGCCCGTTGTTGCCAACTGGACTACAATTTTGCTCTGAGAAACTACTATTTCTGACTCACTTTTAGAAAAAACGTACTTGCTCTTCGTTTCCTCATGCAGATAGATGCTTTTATTGGTGAGTTACGCATAAGAGTTCCTCATTGCAGAATCTAGTGCAATTGGGGGACATTCAGTGGAGGTTCATCAGCGTTTCCTGTTATGAAGAAACGGATCTGGGTGGACTGAGGAAAAACGCCTTAAGCACTTCCGAATGTTGCCGGATTTTTCCGGACAAATTACTGACTACGGAAAGAAATTTTGTGCATATTTTTCTGCAGTTTTGTAAGGAATTTCTTCCCTACTTTGCCCAAAAATTAGTACTTGTGCAGTACTTTTTCAGTGCCTCCAATTGACGAGATTCGAAAAATCTCAAAAATTTGAATTTCTCGCTCAAATTGGGACCAAAATGAAAAAAATGTCGGACCTTCTTACTGATTTTCCGCACTTTATCATTGCTTCCGGACCGCCGTTGAAAAATTAGTACTATTTCCGGACTTTTCGGACTTGTAGACACCCTGCGTAATTTTAATTGAAAATGAAGGTTTCATCGAGGCAAATTTGGCAAGCTTCGATGCTCATACGACCTTATTACAATTGGAGCTCTCCGGCACTCATGTGCCATCTCACGATTCTTGATAAGGATGCTGAGTGTACGACCTAGGCAGGTTGACGTCCGATTTCGATGTAAATGGAATGATGAAATGAACTATTCTCAAGAAAGAAGAGCCGTTTCCGAATTCCAATCAAAACCACGCATCCTCATGTAGATATTCGTTCGTTCGTTCCGAGATAGGTGCATTCCGAGTGCATCCAATAACTAGCTTCTTTTCAGTTGAATTTAGTCTGAGAAGACGGAGACGCTTTGGGGATCATTGATGATTTACACTTGGCCGTATTCATGCTAAAAGGAACCATTGATCAATTAATTCAATGGAAAAGGAACTATGGATAAACAGGGTGTCTAGTTTTATTGTTTTTTCCCCTCTTTTTATCATTTTGGGAAATAATGATTTTTCCGGATTTTTGACTGCTAAATCCTGATTTCATAATTTTTCTAAATCTGATCAAATCCTGATTTTTTTCAGAGAAAAATTAAAATTTCTACATAAGCGTATACGAAAACGCCTCCAGAAAATGTTCGAGGAATTAAAAACAAGCGCGAATCGAAGAAATACGATCGGATGGCGGACTTTTCTCAAATCCTGATTATATTCGACCGATTTTTCCTCAAATCCTGATGAAATTGGGATTAAAATCTTGATGGAATCGGGAAAATCTTAAGGCTTGACACCCTGAAAAAAAAAATTCAATTGAAACCAACCAGGGACAAATGATTTAAATCGAAAGGCACTGTACTTAGAAACAAGCTTAAAGTGGTTCATGAGTCCTTTCACTTCAATCGTTTGAGCATGGTTCCTCTTAGCCAGTGGCAATTTCGCAAGTTGGCAACGCTTTTATCCTCTATTTATATCTATTAAAAATATAAAAATATGGATTTCAGGTGAGGCAATCTGCTTTGTCAAGATCGATTGTTTTGTAAGTATTTAAATGGAGGAAAAACAATGTTGCAGACTCTAAAAAATCGCTACTGCTTTTAGCAAAAACACATCCCTTTGATGAGTACCACCATGTACGGTGTTTTACCTAGGTATATATATATATATATATGAGTCGCTTTTATAGCGCTCTTTGGCGCTGTGCGACGCCTAATCGCCACAAAGCTCGGTCTTCCCACAGGTCATCAGGGAGTTGACAATCTCTTATCTCATTTAACACCCCCTGTCGCCAACCTCTCACTGGGCGTCCCCTACGTCTCCTCCCAGGAGGAACCCAATCAAGCATCTTTTTTGGCAGCCTCTCTTCCGTCATCCTATTGACATGACCATACCAAACAAGTTGTTTGGTCATGACGTCGAACACGATGTCATTTTCGACTTCCATTATCTGACGCACTCTATCATTACGGACCCGATCTCTCCTAGAAATTCCTGCTGACCTTCTCCAGAAATCCATCTCCGTTGCTCTTAGCATATCCTGTGTCCGTTTCTTCAGCTGCCAAACTTCACATCCGTATGTTAATATACTTTTGACTACAGCGTTGTATATCCTCCTCTTGTTATCTTTGGAAATCCGCTGATCCCAGAGGATTCCATTTAACATCGCTATAGCCTTCCTTGCTAAGGTGTTCCTTTCCCTGATAGCTTGATCCGTCCTTCCATCCTGGGTCAACCGCACTCCCAAGTACTTAAAGTGCTCGCAGCCTTTGATCTGCTGCCCATCCTCCAACTCAATGCTTTGCTGATCACCGCCAAAAGTCATCTTCTCAGATTTGGATATGCTGACTTCCAGACCCCACTTCCGATACTCTTCTACTAGCTTGCGCATCATGTATTCCGCGTCATCTTGATCTTGAGCAACCACCACCTGGTCATCAGCAAAGCACAGAGTAAACAGAGTTTCGAGATCACCCAAGGGGACACCCATACCAGAGCATTTCTTTTTCCATTCTTTTAGCACGCACTCGAGATAAATTTTAAATAATGTTGGCGACAAACAACATCCCTGTTTTAAACCCTTAGTCACATAAAATCCCGCTGACAACCCCCCATGGCACTTAACTTTGGTAAAACTCCCTTTATAAAATCGCTTAACAGCGTCAATCAACCCCCCGTTAAAATTCGATTTTTCCAAGGCCTCCCAAAGTTTCACCAACGGCACGCTGTCATACGCCTTCTGGAGATCCACAAAAATTAAATGCAGTTCCTGAGCTACGGCCATTTTCTTCTCAATGACCTGGACAATAACAAAGAGGTGATCTATCGTAGACCTGCCAGCTCTAAAACCAGCCTGCTCCTCTGCTTCGTGATCCTGCCATTCGTCCTCGATCTTCGCTTTCAGTATCTTCCCGTACACTTTGCTTATTGTCCCGGTCACTGAGAGCCCCCGGTAGTTGTTACAGTCGTCCTTCCTTCCCTTCTTTTTGTAGATGGCCTTGATCCAAGACTCCTTCCACTCCCTTGGTACCTCGTCACCCCTGATGCATTGTTGCATCAGTTTTCTGAGGCACTCAAAGAG